ATCAATCAGCAAAGAGGTTCAAAATGGCAGGATACACTTACTTGGATCTGACACAACAAAATGAGAGAGTCTTATTGGTGAAAACCCACACGGGCACCATAGGGCGACGGTAAGCAGAGAAATTGAAAATGAGAGAGTTTTGTTAGTGAAAACTTGCAAAGAGCACTATAATGCGATGGTGAGAAGACAAATGAGAGAGGTTAGCTAGTGAAAACCCGCAAAGGGTGCCACTGATTGAAAAAGGGATCCCTTACAACCATCGGTATTGATAGAGTCCTGGAAAGGTTTCTCGGTTTTGAGATATGGGTTTATGAGAGTTGGATGGTTTGCCTAGATCAGGTATCCAGTCCAAGAAACATGTCATGTCTATTGAAGTCTGCATGAACTCCTGATAAGTCCTTCCTTCCTTTCCCCGAAAGGGAAACTTCTCATTTAATTTCATTATCATGTCCGTTGTTTCCTTTTATTTGAATCCCTTTAGGTCTAATTCTCCTCGGAAACTAATACAAAGAAAAGATGGCAAGATTGGTTATAGGGTTTTGTTTGACAAAAAGCTAAAATTAAAGAAAGCACCCAGCCTCAGCAGGTGCATCAAGTCGGCCTCGACTGGCCATGATGGCCGATGCTCCAGAGTCAAAAACTCTTGAAAAGAAATGAAATCAAAGTCAAGTGCCCATAAAGGAAAAATAAGATTGGAAAAAGCCAAGCCCCAAATAGGTTAATCATCATGTGGAATTTGGGAAAAGTCAAGATCCCCCGGTTTAGAAATGAAACCAATTTTCAGAGAGACAACGAGCAATGGAGATTTTTATTGAAATAGCTTGGCCAAGATCAAGTGATTGAAACAATCAATGCCACAAAACCAACCACCATTTCAAACTGATAATTGTTCTTTGATTTGAAAATATGAAAACAAGTGCAATCCAAAACAACCTTGCAAGAAGCAGGTGAGATAAAAGAAAAGTACGCAGAGACTAAAACGGTTCTGCAACAAAAGTTAAACCAAAAAAGGGAAGTCCCCTCCAAACTCTTTATCCATTCTCCTAAATAAAATGAAAAATGAAATGAAAAGAAAGAAGAAGAATAATTCAAAGTCATAGTAGTATAGGGCCTCCAATCCCTAGCTGCGTCTTTTCTAACATAGGGTCCCACTCCTAATTTGATACCAGCATAACCTAGTAATATTTTCCAATATAGGGTCCCACTCCCTAGTAGATGGCGGCATAACCAAATGACTTTTTCAACATAGGGTCTCACTCCTTAGTTGATGTCAGCATAACCCGATGACTTTTCCAACATAGGGTCCCACTCCCTAGTTGATGTCGGCATAACCCGATGACTTTTCCAACATAGGGTCCCACTCCCTAGTTGATGTCGGCATAACCCGATGACTTTTCCAACATAGGGTCACACACCCTAGTTGATGCCGGCATAACCCGATGACTTTTTCAACATAGGGTCCCACTCCCTAGTTGATGCTGGCATAACCCGATGACTTTTCCAACATAGGGTCTCACTCCCTAGTTGATGCCCGCATAACCCGATGACTTTTCCAACATAGGGTCCCACTCCCTAGTTGATGCCGGTATAACTCGATGACTTTTCCAATATAGAGTCCTACTCCCTAGTTGATGCTGGCATAACCTGATGACTTTTCCAACATAGGGTCCCACTCCCTAATTGACGCCGACATAACCCGATGACTTTTTCAACATAGGGTCCCACTCCCTAGTTGATGCCAGCATAACCTGGTAATCTTTCTAACCCAGGGTTTCCAACCCCTAGATGATCTTGTTTTAGATATAGGGTCTCCACTCCCTGATCTCTTTTTCCAAGGATACATAATCCTATTTTTTATTGCTTTCAATAACTCATAAAATTTTCCTTGTGAAAATTGGGGCAGAAAAATTTCGTTCGTTTGTTTGTTTTGGTGCATGAGTAGGTTTTTACAATGAGGCACGAGGTTTGAGATGATCAAAAGAAGAAGTCTCAATCCAAAATAAAACAAAAGAAGAACAAGAAAAGAAGTGAACTCTAAGTGTAGAAGCAAAGAAAAGATGTGGACTGCTCAAGATATGATTAAAGTCACAAGCTTTGCATGTCCCGCCTTGATCCAAAAAGCTAAAAAAAAATGAACCAGCGGTTGCGGCTAACGAGCATTAAGATTCAGATCAGAGTCTGCAGGAAGAACCAGCCAAGACTCAAGATCAAACTTCATAAGGTTTATAGATAGGAATCTTGTAACTCGTAGTTGATAGGCTTAGTTAGTTTAGGTTTAAATTTTTTAATTTGGTGTATAAGGAGCTCAGCAAGAAGAAACAACAACAACAACAGTGAAATCACAGTTTCTCGGTAGTCCCAGCTACCAAAACTTTCAGAACTACACTGACCTAATTACTTTATAGCCAAGGATATGTAGGCAACCTCCGAAGCAAGGTTAGGTCAGACTTTTCCCAAACAATGCTTCCAAAGGAGTATCCAGACGGGCAAAAATCGCTTGTAAGTGCTCATTTTATCTTTGCCCGAAAACTCTTCGTGTTTCCAAGCAAAGAGGGGCCGCTGTGAGCATGTGATTTTTGCCCTATTAGAAATACTCCTACAAAATTAAATAAAATAGATTTTTTCCAATTTTTTTTCAATTTTATAGGATTTTGTAGAACTTTTATTAATTGTTTGCATTTTGGTGCACGTTACTTTTGATAAAATCATGAAAAAATGCCCCAAAAATATGAAAAATTTCATACATTGCATATTAGGTTTTGTGTTCATATCTTAAGATTAAATGGTTAATTAATTTCTTTATTAAAATAAAAATCACAGAAAATATTATTCATTTTTATATTTTTTTAGCTTTTAATATTAGATGAGTAATTTTCTCTTCACTAATTTAGGATTAACTAATTTTATAAATATTATAAATAGATAATTAGTCTAATTGTATAGGTTTGATCAACTTAGGATTTAATTTATAACTTAATTAATTTAATTAGGGTTTTAAAATTAAAGAAAAGGAAAAGGAAAAACAAAGAAAAAAAGGAAAATGGAAAGAAACAACTTCGTCTTTGATTTATTGGGCCACCCAAGGTACAAAATGCAAAGGCCCAAAGTTTATTCATATTCCACCCCATGCCAGCCTAAGTAAAATCCACCCGATCCATATCCTAAAACCCCAAACGACATTGTTTCGTTCAATTTAAATCTGAACCTTTGATTTCGTTTAATCGGACGGCTCAGAACTAAACCCCACCTCACTTATATCTATCCGAAGGAACCCCCCCCCCCCC